AAATATAGACATTAACCTCCGCACCACAGACTCATAAAATAGCTCAGTCAATAGAAGGTCAAGCCCAGATCTGCATGGAAAAAGCACCCAACAATCTCGTCTACCTCTCTCCAACTTTCGGATCACTATTTTTCTTGCAGAGCTCAAGAGTTTTTATGCACCCTACTGAAACCTGGTGAGCCTTCCAGTATGTACATTTAGATCTTTAGAGCTCTCTTCAAATCAAGGACATTTCCTGCTATTATTTCATTATTGACTTTTCTTCATTAGTTCCTCTATTCCCACAATGAATATAGTGAGTTTTATGGAGCCAACCTTATCTTTTTCCCTAATGATTTCTATCTCTCGATATTTTCCCACAAATTTCTATTTCAAAAATGACCTTCCTCTCCTTCAAATCAGCCACTGAATTCATTAGATGGAAAGTAATATTTAATTACAGAAAGTCTTACATCTGCTATACTTAAATCTCCTTAAATGATCTAATTGGTTTTTAGCTTAAATTATCTCCTACCTACTCCTACAACTCTACCATTCCAAGTGAGTATTCTGTTTGTACTGACTAATTGCCTTTAGGTTGTCATTTTGTTGTAGTTGTTGTTGACTCATTGAAGCTTGCACCTGACAGTCTCCCTGCCACCTGACTAGGAAGACTCAGGACTCTCATGTTCAGCTGATTCTTGGCTTGTTGGGGGCTGGAAAATCTGGTATGTTATCCCTCTTCTCCCACTCTGGGCAAGGTGTGGTAGGCAAAGACGTCTACAGGCCAAGCTCTTCCCAAGAGCCTCTGCCTGCACCCCAGGGGTTCCCAATGCTATTTGCCAAGGTCTTGTCAAGCCAACAAATAAGAAGGTCCCCACCACCTCTCCTCACCAGAATCCGCACGTAGCCCAAAGCTGTACTTGGATCCAGCTCCCCATCAGTTCCACCAACCATATGGCACAGCAAGGGCAAATAGATTGGAGTTGGGAGTGGAGGCAAAGAAAATCAATGTCTTTCAGAATTCTCCACCAGGTATAACTTCAAATTCTTCTCCTCACTTGCATGTTGCCCAAAGCCCACTGGAACTGCTGCTTCTGTTAGTCCACAATGTTGTATGTAGCCGTGGAGCAGGAGGAAGGGGGCCTGAGATTGGAAGTTGTTCTTAAAATCAGTGGGATGCATGTGAAAAATAAACAGTGTTTAATGAAGAAAGCTAAAATCTGCTTTCATCTTCATTTAGCTTCAAATAAGCAAAGTGGTCATGTCTAGACACCCTACATTGCCAAATCTCAGGTTGACTTAGCACTGAGTTACCCTCTCTACCAGTTATTTATCATTCAATTAACTTGTTTATCTGGGTTATTTATTTTTGTTGAATTTGTATACTTCAGAAGATGGGATATTTAAAGAATGGGTCAAGTCTAAAGCCATATTGAACCAGGATAGAGTTCTTGGTGAAGAAGGAAAAGTTAAAACTCTGGCGTCCACAGAATGGGGAGAGTGCTTTGGATTTGTTCTCTTGGAGTTCTTCTGAGTTGTTTTGGTCTTTTTTTCTTATGTTGCAGCTACTATAATAAAATGGGCCTGGGACTGCCTCCAGATGGAGAGGTCTCCAGCCAGAAAGGCCCAGTCATGAAAGTCTTAGACCAGCATTCCTCTAAGCTCTGCAGCAAACTGTTCTCTTCTCTGGCTTTGGTATAGTCTTACTTGGGTTGTCTTTCTTCTCACCCGCCGTGTGGTGAAATCTAGACACAGTATTAGGGTGCAGGCCTAAGGGACAGACACCAAAGAGGTGTTTGTCTTGGCTGTTTTGTAGTTGCTGTGGTTGTGAGCGTGTTATTGTTTGTCTCAACCACTTAATCTGACTACTCTATATTAAAAACATCTGAGGGGCATATTAGTACAGCTCAACTCACTGGGAGACTAAATTTAAGTTTGGAATTAAATAACTCTGACTATTATAGTCTATCTTTATTTGAATCTCTTACATATCACCTTTGCAATCCAGTGCAGAGTTAGGAGATTGATCACAAATGATATTCTACTTAAGATAACAGGCCTTGCTTTGTAAAGGTGGAGAATGATACATCCTTTAGGATTACATAAGGCAATTCTAATGGCCCTAAAAAGGTTTTATGGCTTCATAAAGAAGAGACAAACCTGAAGCATTGTCAATATTATTAGAATCTTGAAATAGATTCACAGATTGTCCTGCCTTGTTCCTATTTGATGTCAGTAATTATTCACAGATGAAACAAGAAAATAGGCCTAGCTGAATATTTGAACAGTAGACTGATTCTGCTTTTTTCCTTTATGAACAGAAAACATTACTTGCTTTTACTTTGATTGATTTTCACCGTAATGTCTTTTTCCTCTTTATAAAATACAGAAACATAAATAATATGTTCTATGGTCTTATGGCCTTCACATAAGAATATGTTCTTATAGGCTTAGTAACTAGAGATAACGTCTATTATCATTTTGCTGAATTCATGTTCAGTCTTACATACACATATATCTAATGAGTTCAGTTATATCTACATATTCACTTTATTCAGTGATTTAGACAATGTAGAGCTAGTTTTTAGTGGATGTAATCAAGTTTTACATCATATTTAAATTTAAATTTTTTCTAATTATGAAGTCCAGTAGTAGTATAAGAATTAGTTTAACATCCTTTTACTACTTGATTCTTGCCAGTCCAACCTAAGAATATACACCTAAAATGTCATTGAACTGTTTTTCATTCTGTCTTCTCATTGTTTATCCATTTGTGTGCCAATTTATAACAATTACTTGTGCTTCAGGCTACACATATGTCTGGCATCACTGATCTCACTGTGGTTCATTAAGATCAATCTAAATTTTGTGCCCTTAGAAGCAAACTGTTTTTTTTTTCTTTTCCTCTTGCTTTAAAATTTAAATTGTTTATATACTGAAAAATCACATTTTTACCAGCATATGCCTAAAGTGTCTCATTTTGCCTAGAACATTTTCCTCAATCTATAGTCTTGGGTATTTTTTTTTTCAGATTTAGAAACTCTTCTTTATATGTATTTGATTATACACTTAATTATAATTGCTAGTCTATTCATTTAGTCTCATTCTCAAGGGTGCCAACTATTCACAGCTTTATATTTTATCCCCCAGTTCTATCATTTTCTTTCTTATAATTTTTTTCTGAATTATATAAAACATTCTACACTAACTGTCCCCACTGTGGATCTTAATTCTGTGATTGAGTTTTAATTGTTGTGGCTTCTTTTTCTTTACATTGGCAGGGGTTTTTTGTTTTGTTTTGTTTTGTTTGTATCTTTATCAACTCCCCTTTCAAATACCATTGCATAGATATACTTTTTGTCTTTTGATAACTCAAAGCAGATACATCTAAATTTTCTTCTTTTACAGTGATGAACTTTCACACATATTTTGTAATAGCACTTTGTAGCAGTGGATCCTCTCTTTTATGTTATATGGGGCTTTTTAAGCCCCACATAATTCTGCCTGGTGTTTTTTTCCCCTTATTTATACATCTTTGAAAAAGGAGAAATTTTAACCAGGTCTGGAGGTTGGCAAGCAGGAGGGCAGTCTTCCTTTTGTTCCTACTCAGTGTCCCCAACCCTGGCAGGCAGTGTCTCCTCTCAGGCCTTTGAATATGGATGAGCACAGCCCCTCTAGTTGTTTATCTGGAAGACTCTATGGGACTTGGTCCCAACGTCAGATACTCTACTATAATCTGAATTAATTCCTCACTAATATGATCCTATACAGCTCTTTTTATGTGTACCCAGAGTGTGTGTTTGTTTATGTGTGTCTCTTTCTTTCTCTCTCTCTCCCTCTTTCATATATATATATATATATATATATGAAAGGTTATATATATATATATATATATATATATATATATATATATAAAACCTATATATTGAACAAACATCCTTCATGGTGTACCAAGAAGGCGACAGTCCCACATTATCCCCTTACTTTTGTTTTTTGTGTTTTGTTTTTTCCTATTTAATGTAAACTTTTAAATTGAAATATACATACAGAGTTTACAAATCTTAAACATGCAGCCTGAGGAATTTCTGCCTAGTGTATATATCCATGTACCCACCAACCAGATGAAAATTAAAACATTATCACACCTCAGACATCTCTCTTGTGCCTCCTTCCAGTCATTAAGCTTTCCCAAAGGCAAATACTACTCTGACTTATATCACCACAGGTTAGTTTTACCTATTTTTGAACTTTATATAAGTAGAATTATATTTTATATATTCTCTGCATCTAGCTTCCTTTGTCCAAGATTATGCTTTTAAGATTCATCCATGTTGTAAGTAGCAAAAAAATGTTCATTCTCATTGCTCTACATTATTTCATCCTATGAATATGCCACAATTTATTTACCCCTCCTCCTATTGAAACACATTTGGGTTGTTAACAGTTCGGAACCATAAACATGCCTTTTGGTGCATAGATGCTGAGTCATAAGTTATGCGTATATACAACTTTGACAGGTTCTGCCAAATAATTTTCTAAGTAGCACCTGAAAGTTTCAGTTGTTCTAATCCTTTTAGTATAGTCAATTTATCTTTAACTTATCCATTCTTGTAGTCATATAGTGATATTTCACTGTTTCATGTGCTTATTGGCCATTTGAATATCTTCTTCTGTGAAGTGTCTAAGTACTTCTCTATTTTCAATTGGTTTGTCTGTCTTTTTCCCATTGATTTGTAGAAGTTCTTTATATATTATGGATAATAGTCATCATCAGATACATGTATTACAAAATATCTTCTCCCATTCTGTGGCTACCTTTCTACTTTCTTACTTGAATTTTTTAAATAATTTATATTGGAATAATTTCAGACTTCAAAAATCTTGCCAAAAATAGCACAGAGTTCCTGTCCGTTTACCCAGCATCCCCTAATGTTAACATTAACATTTAAACAGTTCAATTATTGAACCCAGAAAATTAACATTGGTACAATACTATTAAATAATACACAGACCTTTATTAGAAGTTTATCAATTGTCCCAGTAATGCCCCTTTCTGTTCCAGGATCCATTGTAGGAACTGACATTGCATTTAGTTGTCGTAGCTCCATAGTCTCCTCCTCCGTGACAGTTCCTCAGTATGTCCTTATCTTTCATGACTTTGAAAATTTTGGGATATGCTGCTAGTTATTTTGTAGGATATCCTCAGTCCATTGTTTTCTAATGATTAGATTGAGAATATGCATTTTTAGCAATAGTACCACAGAAATGATGTTGTGGCCTTCTCAGCACATCATTTCAGGAGGTACATAATGTTGATATCACTGATGATGTTCATTTTGATCCCTTGGTTAAGGGGACATGGTTCAGTCCATGTTGTGTTGCCATACCTGAGACTGTGTAATTTATAAATAAAAGAGGTTTATTTGGCTCATGATTTTGGTGGCTGGACAGCTGCATCTGGTGAGGGCCTCATGCTGCTTCCACCTACAATAGAAAGCAGAAAGGAGAGGAGGTGCATGCATAGAGATCACATGGCAAGAGAGGAAGCAAAAGGTAAAAACTGAGGGAGCCAGGCTCTTTTTAACAACCTGCTCTCCAGTCCTGAGAAAATGAAAACATAATCACTCCTTCTGGGAGGACATTAATCTATTAATTATATATCTACCCCCATGATCAAAACACCTCCCACTAGGCCCAACCTCCCAATACTAACTCACTGGCAATTAAACTTCAGCATGAGTTTTGGTGGGGACAAAGCACATCCAAACCACAGCAGGGTGCCCACTATATTACCCCACTACAAAGTTACTATTTCCCACTTTGTCATTAGTAAGGATCTTCTGAAGAGCTCATTTGAAACTATGCAAATATCCTGCTTTTCATCATAGTTTCACCCACTAATTTTAGCAAGCATTCATGATTCCTTTCTGCAACAATTATTACTTCAGTGTTTGCCTAATAGTTATTTTCCATTATTCCTTTTATATTACCAATTAAATTTCTACGGTAATGAAGAGCTGACTCTTCTCCATTTCTTTATTTACATAAATACAAATTCATAGATTTTTATTTTATTCTATATGGGTGATAATACATTACTATCATATATGTGTTGCTCAGAGAATCCCAGATTTGCTCACTGGGGGATCCTTGTGACATGTTCTTATATTTCTTAGGCACTTCATTCATTTCTGGTGCCATAAGATGTGATAGGCTTTTTTTTGTATTTTTCCTGCCCTGGACCTGGAATCAATGATTTCTCCAAAAAGTCCTGTTTCCTTTGTAATGGATAATGGTATTTAGAAAACAAGATCTGGATCCTAGCTCATTGCTACTGGGGTATCATTAGTTCTAGGCCCTCACTAAAGATAAAGCTAGAAAATAGATACACTCACACTTCAATATTTATTTGTACACCTGTCCAATTGTACATATACATATATATTTGATATTATAAATTCATATTAATACCTCTGATATCTTGATTTGCAATAACTTTAGCTTTCTCAGATATGCATGTGACACAGTCCTGTCTGTCTTCCAGCAGCAGGGAGCACATTTCAAACTCCCTGTGTAGTCCCCTTGAAGCCCCTCTCTAGATGAATGGCAACCCCCCCCCAAAGATCCCCAAACTGAGAGAGGAACTTACACCATTCTCACAGTACAGTTCAAAGAAAACTCTTGACTAATTCCCTCGCAAGATCCTAAGGAGCCCACGAGATATGGAACACCTTCTCAGGTCTATTTCCTTTATAAATCTGCCACTGAAGACACTGTTTCACAATCGCTCTTTCTGTCTGGCAGACTGGTGCTTAAGCAAACGCTGAGGCACAGAAAGCCCCAGGCTAATGGTTTATATACATTCTATAGATTTTCTCAAGATTCTGGCTGAAGACAAAGGAATAGCTTTAGCTACATTAGAACACAACCATAGTACAGTGTGGGGAGGACTCTCCTGACTTCTGGTAGTTGGTTAAGGTGGGACATAGCAAAGGGTAAGAGTGGACACTTTTTCCTGCTACTTCCTTCTTGGTGATACACAGATCAAGGTTCTTGATCATCCACATCACAATGGCAATCCCCCCAGATGTTGTCAAGTCAAAATATTATTTATATTTATATATTTTCCATGACATTATCTATACCTCTGCAACTTCATGTACTTTCATGACTATCTTGGCAGAAAGGTTAGAAGGTGAATCAGATGTCACTGGTTGGTCAACATTACACATCAGAAATCTTTGTATATATTTTAAGTTTTTTTAAGGTTGTTTTACATTACTTTTTAAGAACATCTTTGAGATAAGAACATAAAAAGAAGATTAAAATAATGGCAAAGATTGATGCATAATTAGTTAAACTTTAGTTTGACCTGGGTAATTTCATCAAACAAAATGTATAGCAGCTCCAATTTCCATAAATGATTCCTTGTAACTTTTAAAATTAAAATAGTAACCAGCTTACTCAATACTGCACTGGAAGGTAGGGGACAGGTCTCAATGAGTGCAGGCAGTTAGTTCTGGAGTGTTGGTGGCTGTCAGAATTCACAGAATCTCTGCAGGCTGGTGCAGCTTACCAACTTTCAGGCTGTACTTTTCTGAGAGTTGTAACTGAAATAGCCCCATTCCACAAAAGCAATGATTAAGGTGGCAAAGTAGCCTTTACCAGTAATGATCCTGAAGGCCAACAGTAACAGGAAAAACAAGTTTGATCTGTTTGGATCTTTGATAGCCTGAGTTGCTAAAGGATGAGCTCAAACTTCTGTCTTCTTAATTTTTACCTTAATAGACTTTCCATTCTCCCCTCTAAGCATTTTCTGTCTCTCATTATTTTTATCATCAATAAGGTGGATAAAAGGAAAACTTTTCCTCAATTGAATACAGATCGGGTATATTGTATTTCTAACTGTATTCTTACTTATATGCACAAGAGCATGGCTAAAACCAAGAAGCTCAAAATGGAGATGCTGAGGCATTGATGAGCTGTTTTCTTTCCCATGTCATCAATTATCATGGCCAATAAATCATTTGTACTGATTGGCTTACTAGAGCACTGTGAACGATGCATTTCTTCATGCATCGACATACTGTCATTTATCATTACTTTTAATTATCATTGTATGGCCAGTTTTCAGTACCCAGTAAATTAGCAATGCTTTAAAAGTCAGCTAGAATTCAATATTCCTGTATCCATTCTTTTAATTATTAATTCATTCACTTAAATAACACCAGAAACATTTACTAACTTTTAAGCACTGTTCTGGGCTTTGTAGTCATTATATCACAGTCCTTTCTTTCATGGTAAAGGAGAAAAAAATATTATTTGAGCTAGTGTTTACTAAATGCTACACAAGAAGAACAATAAAATGGCATAAGGATCTAGAAGTAGGTATAAGTTATTCCATCTGAAAAGATTAAGGAAGGTTTCATAGAGGACCTAGGATCTGAGCCTGTCTGTAAAAGCAAGTGGGTTTTGAACAGATAAAATTGGGGGATAAAGGATGGGCACTCCTAATAAATGGAATAATGTGGAAAAATATATAAATATTCAAAGAATGACATATAGCACTATTTGATTAGGTGTATGCGATACTTATAGACAGATAGCAGAAAATATAACTTTGTAAATGTAAGTTTGAAATAAGTCAGGGAAAACTCTGAATGCCAATCTAAAGGTTTGAATTTGCTTTTGCAATCTTTCCAGCAAATAAAATAAACTTTGAAATTTTATTTACTTAAAAAATTCTGACTGAAGAATTCACAATTATTCTGTATTAATTTCTTATATACAAGAAAAAAAGTTTTCAAAATCTACACATTTAATGTCCAACAATATCCATTGGATGATATTTAAAATAAATTGAAATTGGTTCAGTGTCATTGCTTATATTATACGTTAGACAGCTCCACCTAATGGCAATATGTTGTATTACAGCTAAGTCTATGGGAAAGAACCCAGACAAAAGCAGTAAATGGTGTTAGGAGAATCAGACCAGCAGGGAGAGACTGCTCACGATCATAGTAAGGAGTCCAACGGACTTAGCTAAGTGTGGTAAAATGAGACAGCAGGGGATTGGGAAAGACCCAAACTTTCCTGAGATAATTACCAAGTTCCAACACAAACCAGTATTAATCAGTATTTGGGACTCTCCATGCCCATGGTCCCTGCATCTGCCAGATTATAGCAAGCCTAAAGTATCTTTAACTAAGGATAGTATCAGAGTGAAAAATGCGCATCTGATATTTGGTTCTTCCAGGTACATGGGTATTAATGCATGCATACCAACAAGACGAACCCCAAATGCCCACGTGTGTGTCTAACACCACACATAAACAAAGAAAATGTATAAGAACTACTTGAAAAAGAGGTAACATGACAAAATGTCATAAAATGCCTTCATTCCCCTGATGTTACTGTTCTGCCACCATCAGTTCAAAGGCCACTGCAGCATTCTCCCACAAATGGCCATGGCTTCGTGCTAGAGGACCTTCTGTTGTGATTACATCCTGAGAATAGAGTGGATGATGATCCGGCCTGGGATTAATCCTCCCAAGCACATGTGGACAACAAACTCATCCTATTAAAAAAGAAGAGAGTTTCTCTCACACTCACACAATGACTAAAATAACATTCAAAGCACACACTCTCTTGACCACTGTCTAATATTTGCAAACTAGAAAGAAAATGTTTGGTTGTTTCAGTGAACAAAGAACTTGGTTCTTACTTATGCCGTGCCTGTGTTTAGTATGAAGACTTGTCTTCACAGATGCCTGGGACTCCAGCCTTTAATCCAATGTATCCTGGACTTGAGGAGAAAAAGTAAAAGTTAATGCAAAACACCAAAGGTCATTTCAGGTTCTCAGTTTGTCAACAGAAGAGCCTTCCACTCACATCTTCAAGCACTACCCAAAAAAGGAAAAAGAAAATAGTCATATTTGCTTATGTGATTCTAATTGGATATACTTTATTTCAGCTTTTAGCTCAGCCTTATAATTTCAGCTCTTATTTATAAATCAGACCACATAGCAACTTTGAACTATATTTCTATTATGATACAAGTTTGTGGGTATAATTCACTTTCCTAAATGACAATAATTTAATACATGTATTGAATATCTGTTATATGCCCATTACTGAACTAGAAGGAAGGAAAGGGCCTATAGAAAACAAGCATTCTTTGTTTCCATCATCAAGTGTATATTTTTCCTCTACATTTGCAGACAAAGAAAATACTCTTATGCACATCAGGATTACTCAAATCTCTTAGCTTGATTTATGCTAGATTTATATTATATAGTGGCTAAAATATGCTCCCAAATTTTTCAGTTCCTATTCTTGTCTATTTTGTAACCCCCCAAGAACATATGGAGGCTGGGGGAAACATCAGAGAAAGAAAAGGATGCTCAAATACACAGGCACCATCAGTAGACATGTGGCCTGGAAACTGACGGGCAATGCAAACTGAATTACTCTTGGATCTAGAGGGATTCAGTGAACGAGAGTAATCGGGCTTTTTTGGGCCCCAACTGCCTTTTCCTGCTCCCAGAGAGAGGGAACTAGTGCGGGTGAGAAAACCTGATGCTTCCCAAGGTAGCCCTGCCAGCTGCTGGGCCTGCCAGGACAGGCTCCCTGGTGGGCTGTGAAGAGAACAGCAGGCAGGATGAGTGCTCCCAGGGAGCTGCCTACGCACCACCGCCCCACAGGGTTCCATCCAGCTGGTGGGAAACCTGCCTCCTTGGCAAGACATATCCTACAGGGACTAATTCTCCTCCCATCTCTCCTGTTCCCCCTACCTCTAGCAGAACAATGTTCCCAGTGAGAATCGCAAAAAGATAGTGATGACTTTTTGTCCACCAGTTTGTTAATTTGCGTTAGCATGAACCCCAAGCCCAGCTGTAATTCTTCTCTAAAACCCCAGCTGCACAACATCTTTCATAAAATTAGATCACAAACAGCTACACGAAGCTCGTACTACATGACTATCACACGTCCACAAGAACTTTTCAATCTTTCTTGGCTGTTTGACAGTGTATGAATTTCCTATGAACCACAGATAATGTAATTTTTTAACTCAATCTGAAGTTTTCTGTCTTTTGATTAATGAACTTAGCCATTCACATCTTATATGAAAAGAGATAGACATACTTTGCCCCTTTCTTCAGATCTCAGGTTTACTATTCATTATTCTTTATTGTTGTTTCCTCATTTTTGTTTCCTTACCATTGTTGACTTGCTCACATTTTTTCATCTCCTTGTCTTCATCACCCCTCCACTCCACCTCACCTCCATTAATTAGGAAGTTAAGCTATGTTTGTGAATTTTGCTGATAATAGAATCTATATTACTCTATTAATATGTCTAAATTAAAATAAAATTTTGCCTGCCACCTGAATAATTTGCTTCATCCCTTCCTTCTCTGCCACACTCTCACCAAGCCCAAGGTTTTGCTTAAGTAGGATTTGTCCTGAGAACTTTCTTCCACAGTGGTTCAAGCTAAGCAGATCTCCATCTTAACCTGGCAGTCACATCCCTAATCCTGGGGATGCAAGCCAGCCTGCTGCAGGCCAGCTCAGGCAGGCTGTTCCCAGGAAAGAATAGCAAAGAAAGCTGGGCCCGTGCTGTTCAAACTATCTGTGGGTGAATGATGGCCATTTTTAAAAATTTTAAATCCTTCACAATTTTTTTTGTAAAATACGATATAAATGAATGACTAGAAAAATGAAATAAAAAGACATGCAAAATGCAAGCCCAAATCTTTTGTTATTAGATTCAGTAGACATAAAAGTAAATTTCAATACACACAATCAGAACAAATATAACCTGGGGGGAAAAAATCACAAAACCATGTTACATTGTTCATTGAAAGCGTGTTTACAGGAGATTAATATAGAGAATCCTTATTACACTTGCCACTTTTACTGATTCTGCAATCAAAACAAAAAGTTATGAAAGAAATAGTGGTCTGCATGCTAAGTGCTTTACAGATACTTTTTACAGACATCCTACATATCAAGATTTAAAGTTTTTAAGGCTATAATGGAACTTGTTTCTTGTTTATTAACTTATCTAAATCAGATAGAATTATTATAGCAACAACTACTCACAGGAATAATGGATACTGGAACAATTTCTATGTTTTGTTTGATAATACTGATAGTAGAGAAACAAGTCTTACAGAGGTATGTTGGCAAGATGGGAGTAAGAGATTTTAAAGGCATTTCAGCAGGTTTTGAATATTCGTTCAACTTTTGGCCAAAATGGAGCAAGTGACACTTCATTTGCAAAATTCAACTTCTTCTCATTTGCCCTTATCCAATAAAAGCATCTTTATACTTCCATCTTTACCAGTAGGTAATCACAACATTTGTCTTGCAAAGTTATAGTTAAATTTATATTATTTTAATGAAAGTAGCCGATTTCAGATTTTATGCATTTTTGGATTTGAGTTTACCAACTAACTTTAAGATACCACCCGGTTTAACTTGGTTCCACTGTGCCTGCCTAGGCCCTCTTCAACTAGGCAAGTCCCCTGATCACATGCTTGGATGTCATGGCAATGTCAAAATTTCTAGAAGTTTCTAAATGCCTACTCTCAACTTTGGTACAAACAGACCAGTACTGGTCCACAGACCAGACTTTGAGTAGCAGCGTCCTAGAGGGAAGTTGGAGGGAAACCCTGATTTTCCTTTTTTGAGGACTGGAGTGAGGCTGAAAAGACTGTCACCAACGGGGGAACTTTGGGAAAAGATCAATCACAGAGGCTCTTGCTTGTGTTTTTCCCAGCCAGGAGCTTCTCACCAGTGGATTTATCTGTCTGCAGTGGCTTCCAGATGCACATTCTAGAGCAGCACTGTCTGAAAGAACGTTCTGTGGTGATGGAAATTACTTAGATCTGTGCAATCCAATTCAGTAGCCATTAACCACAAATGCTATTGAGCACTTGAAATGTGGCTAGTATAACTGAGGAACTGGAATTTTTATTTTATTTCCATTCATTTAGATTTAAATGGCCACATGTGATCAGGGGCTACTGTATTGGACGGTGCCTCCTTGAAGCTTTTGTCAGGCTGGGATTCTGGGAGAGGAAGGCCCCCACTTGGGAAGCAGAGGCCAGGAGCTTTGCCAGCAGCTGCAGAGCACAGGAGGCTCCAGGTCGCAGAGAGGAGGAGAGAACTGCCATCCCAAATGGGCTCTGCTCAGCTCTCCAGGTATCTTTTATCTCTCTGCAGACTCGTGGCATGAGGAGCTCTCAAATGTCTCGTCTCCAGGACTCTGAAGGTCCCTACGGCACTAGCAAATCCTCTCAGGTCTCAGGGGACCTCTACCTGCTGCCCTGCTCAGACCATGGGGAGCCAATCCCCCTCCTCACACAAATTTGGCTTCCTGAGCAAGGCACTTTAGGGGACAGTGTGATCAATCAAGCAGTTCATTGGGAACCAGAAATGCCAAGTGGACAGGGCAGCTCTTTTTCAACAAGATCCTCAGGCTACTACTGGCTGGGCCTTAAAGAAGCCACAGAAATCTCTCATTTCACCTGAAGCTTTGAGGACAGATGAGCCTTTCTGTCAGTCACTCAGCTCTTCCCCAGCACCACAAGGGACTGGCCGCCTCAGAGGCACCTCCAAGTTTGCTCCAGCAGGTTGACTTTAGCTGTTATAATGTTCCAGAAATGGAAGTGGGAATGGAAGCTATCAAGCTTTCCACATTCCAAAAGTCGCCTCCAGCAAATTCTCTGAGAAAGTGTTGCATCGTTGCCCTAAATACCTTCCAGCCAAATGACTAAGGAGAACTGAATGCTAGACCATTCCAACGTGGGTGCAGATGCCTGCTCACCCACAGATGGGCTGAGCTGTCTGAAACTTGGCTCATCTTACATTTCACTCAAGGTGCTCTCCCACCTCTCACTGTGGGACCTCAAGGGACCACACTCTGTGGCACCCCCTCCTCTGCCCTCCTCCCTTGGTCTATCTTTTTGGAATATGTTCTGTTTCTTATTAACACTTTAGAGCTATGATACTTAAAGATCATTCAGTCTAAGCCCCTAATCTTGCAGTTAAGTAAAAAAAAAAAATCACAAGAAGGAAAATAGAAGATGTGTGTACTATCATTCTCCCATCTTATACCCATGGCAGAGACCACAAGTCAAAGCAATCTATTCTACTGTGCCTGGATGTGGCCTTAAAATCCTTCTTGATAGAAGGCTCCAGGCAGTCTTTTCACATTTAATCATAAACACGAATGGCATCACACATTAAGCCCATTTGCCAATCCAGTGTTAAAAGATGCCGAAGTCGTTTGTGGAAAGATTGGGGCCTGAACCCACGTCTCCTGTTTCTCAGGCCACTGACCCTTTGTGCAATATTACAATGCTTGTGCTTATGTTCAGATGTCACACTTTACGTTTTCTGCAAATATTCCACTTGGGGTTCAGTTTTCTGAAAAAAAAATCTAATCATATTGTTGTCTTTTAACTTTTTCTTTTGAATAAGTAATGCATTTACATGGTTCAAACTCAAAGCAATATAAAGGTACATTCTAAGAAGTCATGCTCCTACCCATCCCCATCCACTCAATTCCTCCAGTTTTATTAGTTTCTTGTTTATCCTTCCAGGGTTTCTGTGTGCAAATACATGCAAATCAAATATATTTTCTTGTCTTCGGTGCTGGTTATGCACAAAAGGTAGCACATTATATACAATTTTAGCACCTTGATTTTTTTTAACTTGACAATACAACCTGGAAATGGATCTTCCTCATTTTTTAGCAGGTACATAATCATGTTACCTTTGACATTTATGTCATTCA